GGGGGGGGGGGGGGGGGGAGGGCAAGTCCACTCACGTGCTGCACTTAGAGGGTTTTTTTCCTTGTAGCTGTAATGTACTACTCCCGGTTAATTTTCCGTGGTGTTGCTTTTTCCAAGACCGGTCCCCATATCCTACCCCTTGCGAAAGGAAGGAGAAGAGTCAACACCAGATAGGGGGAGGTGAGGCAGACAGGCAAAGGCGGTGAGTGTGCACTGAGGTTTTTTCGATATCGCGGGGTGCTCTCTTCTCCGGGGGATGTTACAAACTTCTTGTGTGAATTCCTGTCTTTCTGAGCTGCATCCCGAAACCCCGCAGTCACACCAAGGGCGCTCCCATCAATGTATGCCCAAGAAGCTGTTGCCCGCGCGAGGGGGTCTGCTACGGTGGGCCTGCCCTAAGACCTGCAGCAAGCAAGCAAACGAGAGAGAGAGAGAGAGAGCGGCATCCATATCTTTTCTGAGCCCCCACAAAACCCCTCAACAGGGGTGCGCCATTCGGCGCGGCGTGCTTCGCACGCACCCTATGCCCCGGAGAATAGAGTAATAGAATAGAATAGAGCGGGAGACAGAGAGAGGGGGAGCGAGCCACCGTCACGCGCGCGCAACTTCGCGTGGGTGAAGGTCGCCCCGTCGCCCATTGACCTGGCGAAAGAAAGGGACAGAGAGGGCGAGCAGAGACTAGAGCTGCAAGAGTGTCTCGCCAATTCCATGCAATCTGTCTTTGCACTATGTTGTGCTGACGTCTGCCCCCTAAGTAAAAAGGGGCTTCCCAACAGACACCACATGACATGCAGGACATTGTTGCAGCTCCAATTCCGGCGGGCTTGATCTGCCGGTCGGACACATCACCTCTCGACGAGAAAGCGATCGTGAAGTGTGACTCGCGACAGCCCGAGCATTCGAAAAAGCTTGAGCAAAGTCCCTGAAGTCGCTCCTAAGACACTGGCCGTGCGGTGGTGCATCAGTTCTATGCAAGGTTCAAGGGAAGTGATGACGCCTCCGAAAGTGAGGTAACAAGGATCAGCCGCTTGTCACCTGCGTCATGTTCCGACATACAGGGTGATAGCATTGGAAGGACTCCGTCTGTGGAGTCGCACAGATCCCGCGACTCTACGTTCGACGAGATTTTGATTGCGCCGAGCATCGGATCATTTGGACACCCCGAGATGTGCAGCCGCCCATGCGTGTACTTCACTTGGGGTCCATGTCCGAAGGTGGGATCGTTTGATGAGTTTTTTCCTATACCCTTGCTGCGCAGACAAGTCTGTCTCACACATGATGACTCCGTCAGCTCTTGCCAGGCAGCCTATTGTGGATTCTGTCATTTGGCTCATCGCGAGCCTATTGGCAAGTTGGACAAAAGGCTTCATGCCGGGTCTGATGTTTGCTTGCTCAGCCATGCGATTGGACAGAAAATCGCTGTGGAATGTCGCAGGTTCAGGCTTGAAGTGGATCACCTGTGTCTGGTGTCCAATCTTCGGTTGTCACCCACCCACAATTGAGCAGTCGCAGTCGCAGTCGCAGTAGTAGTAGTGGTAGTGGTAGTGGTGGTAGTAGTAGTAGTAGTAGTAGTAGTAGTAGTGGCAGTTCTAGGGGTAGTAGTAGCAGTAGCAGTAGCAGTAGTCGTAGCAGTCGTAGCAGTAGGAGTAGCATTATAGGAGAGGAAGGAGTAGGAGGAGGAGTCGTGGCCGGAGTGGTGAGTAGTAGTGGTCGTGGTGGCGGTGGCGGCGGCGGCGGCCATAAGCTTAGCTGTTATCGTCGTCGGCGTGGCGGTAGTCGCTGTTGGTGCTGGCTCTCACTCATGGTCTTAATTCGATTCGGCACTTTGCCATCCACACGATCCACCAAGATAGTTTCCTGACGCCGACATGGCAACCGTAAGTGTGCCTGGTGAGCTCCGTCCAGCTCTTTCGTCTTGTTTCTGGCTTTCGCTGTGTCTCGTGACCAAACCGCTGAAGTAAACCCACATATTGCACGACAAGCGAACGAAAGCTCTGTCTGTCTGTGCCTGTGCGTTTTCGTGCGTGTGTTTGTGAACCAATCGTGTGTCCAAGGACACAGCGAGTGCACATGCATCCGAAACATCCGGGGGGCTTCTGCAAAAACTAGATGCAACAATGCGTCTTCTTACTCATACTCATCCACAGCCCCACAGTCCAAGGACTGTCGAGCGCATACCTGCCACAGTTTTTGTTGCTTGGGCATCCCCTCTCCCGCAGATGTGCTTTGGAGGCAGCGGAAGATCTTCCAGAAGCTGGGTGAGGCTCATGGGTCCACTTGGCACGTCATGTGGGGTCGTTCGTGGCGCAGCGATCTTGAGGCTGAAATGATTGAGTTGCTCCTTCCTCACATGCTGGAGCGGTCGAAGCGGTTTCAATCAGCAGATGATGCCAACGAGGCAGTGGGCTTCAAAGTGTGCAGACCTCTAATGCCCCAGATGGCGCTGTCTTCTGCAGGTGTTGGACGTTCTTGCACGGAGGCTGCAAGATCTCGCGCCAACTGGGGATGCAATTCAATCGATCACCACCCGGAAGGTCGACAAGTTGGGCTACGCACCTCTCCGCCATAGTGCATAGGGGCCATGTGCCAGAGCTTCGTTTTCGTGCTTAGGTCCTGAAGCAAATGCCGTTCCACGCGTTGGCGAGTCTGATCTTCGCTCGCAGCGACTTCGACACGGACTTCCTGGACCGCTCAAGCTTCTTCGCGTGCCGGTGTAGTGAACTTGTATGGTGTCCGGTGCCCTCTCTGCATGAGGACGATCTGACCCTGGCGACAGCCCGACTTCGTGCCAAGCTGCCTGCGGCCACCAGCAACGACGGGTCCTCTCTGCACTGGTTCTGAGATGGCCAGGCCTGGCCGAAGTCGAGAGCCACGGGTCTGTTCACTCCATTGATTGCCCACAGGTGCAGACTGAAGCTGCTCCACTGAACTATGGCTGCGCAGTTTATGCTGATATGTTGGTGCTGCTTGCTTTTGTAAATTCAGAGCCGGCAGATGTGCGATAAATCTAGGAACTTGATTCTGAGACCCTGGTTCCAAATCCTTTGATTGAGAAGATTCAAGCAATCCTAGTAGGAACCAGCGGCTTCTCAATCAGTTTCCTACATTTGACAGCCACTGAGCACCAAGCCAATAATGATTCTGCAATCCAACACTGACTGCGCGACGTGCGAACTGCGATGTATCGACACTTGCAGATTCCGTGTGTTTGCATAAAAAAAAGCGCAGAGCACGCATGCCCTTGGGTCCTCTGGACCAACCAGTTTCAAGCTCCAGCCGGGCTCTCGGAGCTGGAGGTCGGCTCGCACCAAAGTTGTCGGGAATCGGATGAAGGATGGTCAAAGAACTGCCACACTGTATCGTGTGGAGGTTGGAACGGCCTCGAAACAGTCTCGGTGACCTTTAATGCTCACGCAGAGACTGTGCCAACTTTCCTCGAAGCGGCCAAGGTCCCTGTAAACCACCCGCTCAGAGTTTGCCTTGGCTATCCTCTGTCTTACCACGGTTCTTTCGGAGCTAGTCATTGGTGTGGAACTGGACAGGGACCAAACTGTCAAGCATATGCGGGGAAAAGCCAGCTAATGCTGCAGTTGGCTGAGAGGTCTTGAGTTTGTGCGAGTCGAAGCATCTTGTATTTACTTTGCTCGAGCGGTTGTCGCTCGAGCGGTTGTCACTCCATTTCGAATGAATTTCCACACATGGCCCCATGCTTGCCAGGCCAGCAGCGGCTGAGGAATCACGAATCACACGCCAGGCTCAAGCCAGGGGGACAGGGAGGCGGACTTTACGAAAAAAATCCGCAGCCGCGCCCGAAGGGCACTCGCAACATCTCGCAACCTATAGTAAATCCCAAAAATTTGGAAACCGGATTACACACAAACAGTGCTGGAATTCCTTATACGTTACTCTTAAGGGTTGAGGCTATTGGGTCTCCAACTTTTGGGCTTCTACTATAGAGGCTTGGCTGGCCTTCAAGGATGCCATAGGCCACAGGAGCCTGGTTCAAAATCAGCGAGACCTCGACTCCGTGGCCACAGGCACGTCTAATGACGACGGCCACTAGCCTCACATCTTTTGCGAGGTGCCATGCCACAGCACTTTCCCGACCTTTCATGGCGCTACCTGAAAGCCCCAGCCGTTGTCGCTTTGTACAGAGAGCTGGCAGTCGGTTCTGTGGAGCCGACTCCAAGCTTCAGTTCGGTCGCATGGACATGCTACTGTTCGCAGTGGCATCGCCCGGACCCCCGACAAACGGCGACAGGACCATTCAGCATGGATCCTTTCGGTGGCTGACGCTTGCAAGGTGCGCCAAGGATATCAAGAAATAAATTTGCTTCCCATGGGCAGCTTTTGCAAAGAAGGTCCTACGGTCCTACAGCAATGCACTGACACAAACTTTGTGGCAACGCTAGTCAGCTCAAAATTGTGATCTGTACTGGTAGCTCCCGTGGCTGAGACAGCGAAGTTGCATGACATCGCAGGGGCATTTATTTGCAACCCTGCCTTTGAATCCTGCTATCTTTGAAGATTCAGATTGCAAGCATGTGACGGCATGCAGGCACAGAAATGCGAGACATTCTATTTCCGACGCTGACAGATGGATTCAAAATGGTTGCTTATGGGATGCACCACAGCTTGGAACCTGCACTGCAACCAGCTTGAAGCAGGAGACAGTTTCGGTTGACGTTTGTCGCATGTCAGGACAAGGTGGCAATCCCGGGAGATAACGATCCTGTCCAGCCTCCTTCTCAGTGCGTCGTGATAGACGGGCTCTTCACCTGGCAACTCCTGCTCCTTCTTGGTTTCAACTGAGCTGGCTTTTCTTGCCGAGGGTTTGAGAGCTCTAGGTGTCGCATCTTCCAGGGCTTGTTTGCTTGCGAGGCTTCTGTTTGCTTGAAGAGCCTTGTCCCGGCCAACAGAACACATGCTCCCATCGCTGGGTGACCCAGCCGCCCTCCTTTCGAAGGCTCGAGCATCCTTCAATGCTACCAGGTTTGGTTGGTGCCACCACCTTCTTGTCAAAGCACTTTCCTGACGCCCACACGCATGCTGGTACAGCAGCTGCGTCTAATCCGCAGAGCAAACAACCACTTGGCTCCATCATCGTTAGTGGATCATCAGTGCATCTTGAGAGTATGTATGAGCTTCCACATCATGAATGAGCAGCAGAGGCATCTCAACTGTGTCCCACTGACGGCAAGAGTCGTGCTCTCTCTGGATCCTGGAAGCTCGTATCTGCCGTGCGTTTTTCTCGGTTCATGTCGGCCTTGGTTGCCCCTTTCTTTGCTTGTCAGATTCGTCCTTAGCTAGTGGAGGTTGCAGGTTGCAAGTACGTCTAGAGCCTGCCTGGAACGTGATTCGCACAGGGACTCGACTCGAACCCCAAAGCTGGGCGAGAGCGACGATTTGTGTAGACTTCAGGTGGTGCTTTTCCTAGAGACGAAACTTGGGGATTTGGGATTGAGCACTTTATGGCTCTAGGGTCTTGGCATCAGGTTGTTCTCTTGCACTGTACCTGATTGGTAAGGAACCAAAACCACCCATCCACCCCTCATAGCTGGCGTTCAAGTTCAGGACAGCTAGGATTCAGGTCAGGATGCCGCACGACGTCAAACAGTTGGACAGCTTGACAAGGCGCGGCAGCTTTCATGTCACGCTTGCACCACAACCACGCCCTGCAAGTCCAACCTGAGGGTTGCACGAAACATCCAACACGAGAACTCTACTTGTTGACTGCTCCTGGCGATGACGGCCTCTTTGGGCTCCTGTGCTGATCGACCTCTCAGCAGAGAGTCTTCGGTTTCCATTTCGGTGAGGATGCAGATCGCACTCTTCATCGTCATCGGTGTCACACTGTCTCTTTCCAGAGGAGACGTGCGTTCGGAAGTACGGAATAGCGCGCACAGCCGGGCCGTCTTTAGCTTCTGAAGGGAACCGACTTGACTCACAGGTTCAGCGAAATCGCCCAATAAAAACCGGCGGCGCAAGCAGATACATGCCGGCTTAAGGTGTTTGTGTGTGTGTGTGTGTGTCTGTGTGTGCGCGTGTGTTTTGTTCATCTGCTCTGAGGCGCAGCCCTGGCTCCAGCCGCCGTCGGCAAAGCACCGGCGAGTCGGAAGCTCGGTTCACTTTTGTCTGGCACTCCAGAAAGGTACAGAAAGGTCTCATCGGAAGCAGATTTGATGTCTTCACTGGCTTCACCAAGAGATGCTAAGTCACCAAGGTGCTGGCACTTACGAAACACCTGGGGTGACGAGTGGGGCGACAAGGGGTGCCTCGGTTTTGCCTTCTGTTCCCACTTGCCCAAGTCTTGTGAGTTTCGTGAAGTGGTTTCATGACATGTTACGTTCAAGACTTCCCAATGATGGCAGCGGCGATGCAAGTGCAAGAGGTACTTCCGGTTCTTAGATGACATGCTGACTGGCCTGACGCCCAGCAGCCTGCGACCTTTTCATCTTGGTGGGGTTGGGCAGCAAGGATGGAAGCGATTTGGCTTGCTTGGCTGTCAGTCGCTTCGCTGATGAGTTTTGTGGTCAGTCTTCAGGACCCCCCGGCTATCATCTCCACATCGCTTCAGCGGCAGCGGATGGTCCCAAGAGTGTGGTGGGAGACCGAGTGTTTGGATTGCGACATGTCGACCTACAGCCTGAACTTCCAGGCTCATTTGGAGACCGCACGATTGATGCTGCTTCTCCCTGCTACAACATGATACCGAGGAGACTGTGATCTGAGACCTGAGAGCTTGCAGCCGGAGATCACTCGCTCGGTGCTCTGCATGTTTTCGCTCGGTGCTGACCGGCGACTGTGAAGGGTTTCGTGTAAGTAGAACCGCGGAGGAGTGAAAACACCAGGGAGGTCATGCCTTTCGCTATCTATAATGCCGAAGCCAAGAGTGCCGCAGTGCCGCAGTGCCATGTGCTCCCTGGATACGAAAAGACACTGGAGAGCGGAGTTGTGCTGCCGACAAAACAGTGGGAGCGTCCGAGCTTCCGGATCCTTGGATCCTGCGTTTCTCTGTGGAAGCGATTCTCACCTTCAACTGCTACGGCTTGGCTCGCAGCATTTCAGAATCTTTCGCTGTTTCAGTTATTCTCCCGCAAAGTCTGCGGACGCAGGCCAGTTGCTGAATTGTTTAGCTGCTGTGGAACCAGTCCAGAACCACAACTTTCACACGAAGGAGATGCGTCTTGCCGCGGCAATGCGTAGGGGACGAGCAGGCGGGAGGGACGCGCCTGAGCCTGGTGGTGGCGGTGCCTGCGTTTTTTTTGCTGCTCTTCGTCTGAGGCGCCTTGCGCTTTCGCTTGCGGGCAACTCCAGTCGTCATGGCCTTGGCAGCTGGAACTCTTCTCTCCAGGAGCGGAGACGAAAAGAGACGCAGCTTGCCGGTAGCCCTCTTTGTGCCTCGAGGAGCTTTATTGGCAGCCAGCCCTCAGACCGGAGCTCTCGGGTATCTCGAGCTTTCTTCGGTGGCTGGGCACTTACCCGGCCAGAGGATTGCATTGCATTGCCATGTCCTAACCTGAGCTATCGAGGCCTCTTCGGCAGTCCCCAAGGCCCCGCCGCTCCGAAGCGGTCGAAGCGCTTTCAGAATCATTTCTCGCTCCAGGCTCTCCAACGCCGATCAAGGATGCTCCGCAGGACCAAAGCGTCAGAGTCGCATCTTCCTCGCTCGGTGGTTTTGCGCCTCAGGAGGATGCCAGACACTACCTCACAGGGGGCCAGATGTATCCTCCCTGGCCAGCGGGGATGAAGGAAGCCATGTTCGGCATGGGCTGCTTCTGGTGTTCGCTCCTCAAGTTGCCCAGAAGCCTCGCGTTGGCGTAGTGGCATGGCAGCGCTTGCAAGGCTCCGAGAACATCTTCATGAGGGTGCCGGGCGTGTACTCTACACAGGTAGGCTATGCTGGCGGTGGCATTGAGAATCCCACCTATGGTGACGTTTGCACGGGAGCTACGAATCACAACGAAGTGGTCAGAGCTCTCGCCTCGGACTTCAGTGACCCCTTTGCTTCGAGCTACCCATGGTGGGCAATTTCCCTTTCGATTGGGCGAGGTAGTCTATGATCCTGAGAAAGTCTCATACGTTGAGCTCTTGCAGAAGTTCTGGGAGAAACACGCTGCAGCCCCATTTGCTTTCGCCGACCCTGGGCCGTCGTGCAGCGACGGACAGCTAAGGATCCGACGACGCTGAATCAGCAAGGGAATGACTTCGGCACGCAGTACCGGTCAGGTGCAGATGCTCAAGGCCTCAAGGCAGGGCCGGGAGATGTTCCTGCGATCTCCTGAAAGGCATCTACTACTACTCGGAGGAGCAGAGACTGCTGGCCGAGGAGCGGAGCCTGCGGCGCGCGCCCTCTGTGGGCTTTGTTCCCTGCTGCCCACTCTGCACTTCAGGAGACCAAGGCGCGGTACCAGGAGGCGATACAGAAAGCCAATGCCGCGTGGGGCCGCCACTTGGACCTTTGAAATGCGGGAATCCGCTGGGAAAGTGGAAGTGTCAGACTTGCAAGGATCCATCTCAACTGAGATTGAGCCTGCACCGACCTTCTACTACGCGGAGGCAGAGCCGCTTTGTGAAGTTGCAGAATGATTTTTGGTTGCTGTTGCGCCAGTCCTTCCACCAGCAGTACGATGCAAAGCCCGGCAATCGAGACTACTGTGGCTTGCGGCCCCTTGGTGTCCAACTTGATGTCAACGACATTGAGACGAAGAAGATCGACGCATGAGGCCGGATACACAGGGGGTTTTGTACCAGCTGCTGCTGCTCCAGCTCCGCTACCTCACCTGCAACTAGACTGCAGCAGCGACGGATGTGCTGTTCCCGCTGTTGCAGTTAAACTTTTAACAGTTAAACCATGCAACATGTTGTCTGGGCCACACGAGCCAGGATTTTCCATGCTTTCGAACAGCATTTTATAGCATGTGTTGATGTAGTCGTACGTTCTGTGTACAAAGCCAGAGTTCACCTGAGCCTTCATCGCTTGTGAGCTCATACCACGCACTATGCGCAGAAGTTCGGAGGCCTCGCAGTCTGCTGTGTGCGAAGGCCCTGTCAAGTACAGCAAGACCCAAGCTTAGGCAGCCACGGCGGCAGAAAGGATACCGAAATGCTAGCACGGTGCCTTCTGTGCTGAAACCTGCAGCTGACAGCAAGACACGATGAGCGCAGCAGCTAGTCCTGCAAGTGAGGGAATGCAAAAATGCGGGTTTCCTTCACAGACACACACAAGAGAGGAAGTTCATCGAACCACTCTCAGCCAATATCTACGGTCCAGCGCCTCAGGCAGCATGGCCTTGCACAGCAGCAGCCGGGGCGCTGTTCTCGCATCGCACGGAAATGCAGCACAACACTTCGTGACTTCGTGGTGCATGGAGTGTAGAATGTAACCTTACCGGTTGTGGACGTTGTAGACACTCAGCTGAAGTTGAGCACAGGGAACTGTTTGCAGCTTTGCTATGGCTCTCGCCACTTTGAGTGCTGCCATTGTCGCCCGATCCCCAGCAGGGCTTAAGCAGTGTGGTACTTGGCCCAAGTGCTCCAGCCCATGCAGCAAATAAGGACCAGTTGCTGCACCCATCAAGGTGCGGCGAAGCGATGCTTGGCGACAGAGAGTTGCTGCAGGCACCATCCGTGTTGCTACCGGCACTCTTTTGACCAGCTTGCGATCACTACTGTGCCTGTTTAGGCTTCGTTTTCTGGCCTGCTGTGCTGGTTGCAATGTTTCTATGTAGGGCTACTGTCACTGTGCATGCTGAACAATCTGGTTAGTGCTGCTGCTGCTGCTGCCGCTGCCGTTGCTGCTGCTGCTGCTGCTGCTTCTGCTAGTGCAACTAGTGCTGCTGCTATCTGCATAGTTTGGACACTCTGAGGATCGTAGATGCCAGCTCGCTGCTGGACGCCCAGCCGCGACTGACGATCGCTTTCTTCAAGGAGCATGCCGGTACATGTGTGCAGGTTCAGCCTTGGAAAGCACGGCACATTCTCAGCAGAGCCTTGCTGCAAAGTCGCTTCAGCGCTGCGACAGCTGCTGTCAGTTGTTTTGACACTACGGACATTTATCCTCGATGTGCCTGGTGCAGCAGTTACCAAGTACGCGCGAAAATGGGCCACATCACGCAGCATCAGCAGATGATGCCGCACAAAGGCCGTAAAATCGATACAGTATCCGACGTAGCAGACCCAACAATCATGCGGATGACATAGTTGAGCTTTGATAAGATCGATTGTTCTCCCTGCTCCAACTTGCTTAGAATCTGCACATCTTCAGAATCAGCAGATGAAAGCATGCAACGACCAGCCCGCGAGCTCTGAAACAGCATGGCTTCCTGGCTGACGGGGCGTGTCGCTTCATTGGTGAAGGAACCCCGGCAGGTGGGCTATGCACGCCGAAAAACTGTCAAGAGCTATTGATCCTGTGATGGAGAAAAGCTTCATGGAAGATGCTGAAGTCACCACTTGCGAGGCTTTGCCAGCTGCCGATGAAGCGCAGCAGACGCTGGAGCAGAGAGCGCGCGCTCTCACATCACCTCACAGCGCAGTGTGGCCGAACATCGGGGCAATTGGAACACAAGCACTCGACGCACTCGACGCTTGTTAAGCTCGTTGTATCCCTGTGAGTCCACCTTTCAGGCTGCCTGGCTGCTGTCACACTGGCTGGAGCAATGCAACAGCTCGGAGGTCTCATTGGGCGCAGCTCAGCTTTTGGGTAACCGACGGAGCTTGGCCCCAGGTTTACGTGCAGTGCCAGGGCTCTAGCGGCTCCCAAGGAGGTGCGGAAGGGAACATGGCTGACGGGTCAGAGGGCAGTTTTCCGAGCCTTCAAAGAATGGCAGGCGCTCGAACCTGGCAGCTCTCCTTCCAGCAGGTCCTGCTGAGAAGCTCCGCCTTTGAACCCAGGCTGCAGGGCAGTGTTGGCAGCGTAGTGTACAGAACAACGCATGGAACGCTGCTTGGATGCTCTCAGCTGCAGCGAGGAACTGGTGCTGGAGGTTTGCGCCAAAGTTCCATCGGTCCGTGAGGCCCTCACGCCAGGCCGGTGCCGACAGCTTGCTGCGAGCTCCAGTGGCACTGCGAGTCTGGCGAGTGGGATGATGTGGGATGTCCTGCGCTCACAAGGCCCTGCCGCCGCCTCGGCATTGCTCGAGCAAAGCAAGTCTTTACGGCAGGCGGGGGCTCGTTCGGCGGTTTCTTGCGCCTAAACCTGCTTGTGGAGAACCAAAGAGTGAAGATTTCTACAGTAGATCGGTTTGGTCAAGACCAGCTAGTCTGACGCAGATGAGCTGTTGCAAGGCGCTGCACGGCATGGCGGAGCGCTTGCTGCTCCCTGGTGCCCTTGCTTGATGTTTGTAGGCCGTATGGCAATGCCTGCAAGCTGGTGTAGGGACGAATGCAAACACAGGCAGGCATGCGCATAAAGTGTCTAAAGAGTGCAGGCCGCCTTCTACACAGCCGGAACACAAGCACGGAGCTAGAAAAGCCCAGATTTTCCTATATTTCCTCCAGTCAGAAACCAAGCTGCTGGATTTTCCGAGTCTCAAAATCCACATTGCTGCGTGCTTCTTTGGGCCTCGACAAATAGGTATTTTTCATGATAGTTGCAAGCTGGCCCTTTAAGTGATCCTATGATTCGAGAGTAAGGAGTGCGAGTCGGGGTTGCGAACCCAACACTCGTTTGATGCGATCACTGGTGGAGTGGTACACTTCCGCCGCTTGCCACTGGCTCGTCACAAGTTTTCAGGAAGGACTCGCGATCCTGCCTTGTTTAAGGTGAGGACGCCGGGTGTCCACCATTTCCGTGGGGGCGAGGGGTGGGTGCTGGAGGGATGATGATGATAATGATGATGATGATGATGACACCGTTACGTGCACACCCCGACCATTACCTGCAAAACATCCACTTACTCGGTATTTTACAGGACATTCGTCATGTCGGACCATCTCTTTTGGTCTCAACATCTACTTCTCGAAATTGCATGCGAAAGTCTTGCAGCGCTCTGCAAAACGGCCAACAAGTGCTGCTGACAAGGCTTGCGCAATGCAGTGCTCGAAAAAGTGGTTTGTACTGCAGTGCCAGCACCATTGTCCCTAAAACGATCGACCTGTCACAAGGATTCTACGCCTTTCCCAGCACTGTGTTTTAGCCTGAATGCACGTTTTCCCTGGGTGTGTGTTAACACATTGCCTGTTTCAGCTATGCCACGAAACGCCGGTCATGTACCAGGCGTCCTTACCTTGCTTAATCGTTATCTGTAGCTCCAAATCTGCCAGCTAGAACCAATTTTATCTGCTGTGCAGCTTTCTTCAGTGGTTCTGGCCTGCTCAGGGTCTGGGTTCGGCTACACTTTGGAGCACGGAATCCGATTTCAGACTTTCCGGGTAGGGAGGGAATTCAGGTGGGCTTGTTTAGTACGGAAGCGAGTCTGCTGCCAAGGTGCTCTTGAGGTGTGGCCATCGCTGCGACTGAGTCTTAACTTAGTCGGCTGTATTTTAGACAAGGAGTCTCAGGGATCGTTACAGATTTCCTCTTTCTTTTGCTTGCCTTGATTCTGGCACGACGCTTTGTCAACTCTGAAGCCTCTTGGCAGAGGTTTGACGCCTTGCTCTCGCGAGATGCAGCGGGTGCCTTGCCCTGGGACTCTTGGCGGATGGGGACAGGGGACAGAGGGTGGTGTCGTCGCAGCCTTATAGAGCTGAGCAGCACACTTAAAGACACACCAAGCCCCCCTCGTCTAATCTCAGGATTCCTGGGCCCGGCGCCTCGTCGCGGCCCTGAAGAAGCCTTGGCCCCTCGGCCTCGGTCTTTTTCTTGGGACCGAAGAGATGAAAAAAGATGGGGAGATGGGGAGGGATGACTGGAGCGAAGCGGGGGGTCCTCTCCGTCGGCTGGGCGCTGTCCCAGGCGACTGGAGTCACTTTGGCCGCAGCTTCGCCGCTGGGACACTGCGGCTGCCGAGGCACTGGCCCTGCATTGCACTGCACTGCAGCCGAGTGCCTCGCTTGAACCGGAGTCATTCGAGGAGCTCGGAGGTTCAGACACTGCCAGCTCCACGACGCTGAAGGCAACAGCCGCAGGCGGCATGAGTCTGCTGCTTTCGCTTTGGGTCCAGGTCCTTCGGGACAGAGCCTGCGTACCTCGCCAGGTGCGCAGGGACTCTCCAAGCAGGGCATCCGAGCAGAGCTGATCCGAAGGTGCAGCGTTGCCGAGTCCAGCCTGTCTCAGCACAGTCCCCGAAGCATCTCGGAGGCGCTTCCCGCAGCTTGCTTTGGAAGCCTCTCACTCAAGAAGAACTGTGTGTGAGTGGGTCGACGAGAGAATGGGCACACCCTCCAGGTATGCAAGGCGACCAAAATCCATTCCTCAATATCTCTCACTTTATGACTTCCCGGATGCAGCCACCCGTGTGATCCCTCGGCACGGTGATCTGGCGACAAGCCAGCGTTAGGAGTCAGGGGGCTTTCGTGAACGGCGTTTGGCGGGGCCTTCTCATATCTCAGGCCGGTCGCTTGCGGTCCCGCAGCGAGGCTTTGTGCGACGGCTTGGAAGCGCTGAGGTGCGCAGGGCCCGTCTCCGCTAAACGCTTTGATTCTTCTACATTCTACAGGGAAAGAGAGCCGGCTGAGAGGGCTGGCTTCTGCACTCGCATGCCTATGATTACTGTATGAGCTCGTGAGCGTGCTTAGGGGTTGTCGAGCGAGCTCTTGATCTCTCGGCCGCTGCACTCTTGCATTGAGTCGCAGGACCGTTGATGGCATGGGTGGTGTGAGCTGCAAGGCAAGGCTCCACACGTGCGAAGAGGGCCTGAGCGAGGGCCACTCAAAGCACAGCAAGTGCGCAGCCCGCAGAGGAGATCGAGCAGCTGATCCAAGATGCGAGCCTGGCATTGGACTCCCTTGACTGCGGGGTGCCTGAATTATCGGTCGGCTTGACTTCTGCACCTGAAGATCCCAAAGAGCATCGGAGCAGCAGCAGCGACGAGGAGTTTGAAATCTCAGGTGGAGTTCAGGGCTCCCGTGACGAAGCACGTCAGCTGGGCCAGGCTACGAACCTGCAGTCAGCAGATTCGTTTGGCAAGCGAACACTCTGACAAAGCTGGGCGAGTATGGGTGGGTGGTTGAGCGGCGTGGGGTAGGGTGGGCAAAGAACTCAATTTTCTGTCTTGCCGGTTTCTCCGGTTTGACCAATCTCTCACGCCGCAGATGGGAGGCTGTGTGAGAAGGTGCATGAGTTTCAGCTATGTGGGAGAAGCTTGAAGCAACGAGGTTTTGGCGTGAGTTCGGATCTAAATCGCAGGCTTTGTCTGATGCTGGCAGTGCTGTCCAGCGTCAGATGGCAACCGTCATGCTGACACAGGCAGGCATGCATTTACTTCCTGGACGGCTAGATATAGATGTCGTTTGAGGAGACCTTTGTCGCTCGTCGTGGCCAGCTGCAGAACGAGAAAGAGCAGCTTGCAAAGCGGCTGCAGGCACCACCTTCTGCCACGTCGGATCATCAAGTGTGTGCTCTGCTGGCATCAGGAGCTGGACGCCGAGGTCACGCAGCTTGATCAAGAGGCATGCCCCCTGCCAAGAGACCTTGCAAGTTTCTTTGAGATTTCGAGCAGGCGAGTCGTTGCAATCAACAGATTCGGCAGCTTCAAGCTCAGTTCAGCCACAACACCAGGCCGATCGGGGGGCAGGGCATGGCATTGGCATGTGGAAGCTCCGTCTCTCCCAGTCACTACGATGGACTCCTCGGGGGCAGCGCGGCCTTTTCGGAGGAGCTTGGCGACCGCAAAGCCAAGGCAGGTCCCGGGGTCTCGCCAAGGCCTGAGGCGGCATCACTGAATTCGGAGTTTTATAACCGCCATTAAATGGTGCGGTTCGAGTCCGATAGGGTCCAGGTTTCACTAAAGGGTGCGGCCCAGAGTCGGTTCTGCGAGTCCGACGAAAGGCCATGGCGTTTCGCGACTGCGCTGCTGCAGCTTTGAATGTGGCGAAAGCAGCCGAGGCAAGCCATACTCATCGTGGCGTTAGCGGCAGCTCGTGCAGCTAAGGCCAAGCAGCGCGCGGAGCTCGAAACCCAGCGCAGGCATCGACTCCTCACGCGAAGTGCTTGCAAGCCCTCGAATTCGATCCCTCTCCTCTCACTTCGCTTCACTTCGCTTGAAGGCGCCGGGCCTCCGACCTGCGCCGGCAAGTCGCGGCTTACGTACGCAAGGCGAGCTCTCTGGAGCTTTTCCTTTGCTTTGCACTCCTGCTCTTACTTTTGCATTTGGGTTCTCTGTTCTTGCCCCTGTTGCTGTATAGTTAATGGCGGGCAACACCCGAAGACGAAGGTGAGCTGAGCGGCGAACTTCACCTCAAGCATCAAAGGCAATGCTGAAGAATGCCGCATTTTGGGTTCCAAGATGGTGATCCGCCCTATCCATTTCAACACAAGTCACACTTGGAGAAGTCAACTCAGTCTTTGGACCGGTCCGCATGGAACCAATACAGTGGCCGCCCCACGACTAACTACTATGATGGGACCAGATCTTGAGACGGGAAAACGTGTGGGCAAAGTAGGATTTCCATGGCTTCATTGGGTCATGAGTTTGTTTTCGAAGACGGTGGGGCGGCGTGGGTAGGGTCTGGCTACGTCAAGACATATTGTTGCTCCTCGAGAAGTAAATGCTTTGTGTGGCATGCTTGGCAATACATTCCTCGTTCTTTCATGTGGACCTATCCTCTCCGACAGGCCTGGTCTTGGGCAAGAGAGCCGACACGGGGGACCAGGGTGGACAAAATTCGGCTGGGAACGGGGAGCGCGCACACCTGGAAAGGGGGCGAAGATTTTTTTTTGCCTTCGCGCTGTCGAAACAGAGAGATCTGCAGATTGCGCAGCGCACGGGAGGAGCCGTGGCCAAGCCGTGGTGGGACGGGCCACGAGTCGGTGCCTGTCGGGCGTTGGCATTTGGAGCGACGGGATTGGGGGGGTGGGTATATGGTCGTGGGTTTGGTGGATTCCCGCGTGGCATGTGGGTTTTTTTCGTGGGAGAGAGGGGTGGAACTGCGATGGCGGGCCAGCTGCAATGCTGCATACCATGTCAAGAGCATAACGGGCAGATTGCTCTGGCCCACGGCGCTCCTGAGTGCAAGTTAGCAGCCACAGCAGCTGCAAAGCAGCTCATGCTCCGAGCAGACTTCTCGCGACAGCCGTCTCGGCACAGCTTGATGCTCGGGCAGGTACAGAACATGCTGCAAAAAAAAAGAAGTTTGGGCATTGCTGGGTAGCAGCATCTGGGAAACCAAGTCCAGCACAGGCGGGGTGGGGTTTCTGTCAATCTTTTGTTTTGAAGTGTTTGGCACCTGGGAGACAAGAAGCAGATAAATTAGAAATCAATTTCTCGCGCGGGGAACCGTATCATAGTGTCGCTTCACAAGAGAAGTATACTACAAGCTGTGAGAAGCGACATGAAACAAATACAGAGTGAGGAAAGAGATTTAGACTTTGGCTCCTGCAGATTCAGCGAGAAAGTGCCCTTCGTCCTTCCCCAGAGCCAGAGAGCGTCGGCAGAAGCCCGAAGCAGGGCCAAAACCCCAACTCTGGGGCTCCTAATTGATATCCCGGCCCAAACACCTCCATGTCGCAGGAGCGGACTCGATTGCAAGCAGCTGCGGAATTCGCCGAGCTGGTGGCAGGTGCCCAGCCAGGCCCAGCCTGCGCAAAACAAAAGTGGATTTGTATTTGTTTTCTCGGGTTTGTCGGGTTTTGTGGAGGTCAAGTTCCTTCTATGTCCTAGGAACAGGTGGCATGACCGACCATGGCTAGAAGCAGAAGCTGCCAGGCCGTGGGACCGGGACGAACCCGGTGCCGCGGGAGCCGAGGGATGCAGCGGAGGAGCTGATGGAGGCGACCGTGCTCGCTCAGGAGGCCAGCCACCTGGCGCCCACCTGGCCCACCTGGCCTAGCGCCCCGCGAAAAAAAACCCTCGCAATCCGGACGCCAGCAGAGGCAGTGAATGTGACCAGTTGTGGAATCTCTGCGAACTGTTGCTCAGCCTAAGGAAGTCAGTCGCAACATCTTTGCACGGGGATCAGCATATCTTGCCACGTCCGGCTGTCATTGACGTTTGCAGGAATTACTGGAATGGAGATAATTAAGTATGGCACTGTTGCTCCACGGACCAGACGGATCCAGCAGGAACAGGTTTGAATAATGATGTGACACACTGAGTGCGCCTTGAAACAAGACCGGGGTTCCGGAGTCCAACAGACCAGGAATCTTGAGCTAAGCTGGTCCGTCGTGCTTGGGCCACTGGGATCATTGGTCCAAGCGCTCCAGGTCTGGCGGTCCGTGCAGGTGTTGTTGCAGCGCGTGGATGCCTTGGGCGAGAACAGAGCAGATTCAGAGGCTCTCTCCTACTGAGAAGTGAAGTCAAGCACCATGTGGTGCAGAAGCCTTACACACCCTGCCATCGGCCCTTCTTCGGCTAGACCGACTCAAGTCCTGAGCCTCCCGGCAAGTTCAGTACCAGCATGGGCAGGTGATTGCTTCATCATCAGAGATGCTGGCAAGCAGCGCTGACCCGCTTCAGCAGAGATGGCCACCGTAGAATGTTCTCATAATGGCCCGACATTTTTGCACATCTCAGGAATCACAGGCCTTCTTCCTCAAAGCAGCCGAGGAGGAGCCCAACATGTTGTCGACCTGCTGTTGGCAGTGTTGCGCGCCTCTGCACTTTCTGTTCCAAGCAAACAAGCAGACAATGCTTGTCGTTTTCAAGTGGATTCGCTGCACCATGTCTGTACTTGGCCTGCCCACCACCCACTCCTCTCCGCATGTTCGCAAAACGTGGCAAGCTGCCCCATCACAGGACCTCTGCGTGTGCGCCGATTGCTCCGCTTTGGGGTCTGAGTGGGCTTCCGTGTCCTACGGCATCTACCTCTGTGCCCGGGCTCAGACTTCGAAAGCCTTAACGCGAGCTCCTTGGCTGGGGCTGGGGTCAGCCTGAGGCGTAGACTGTGCCGGGCAGCACCGTGGCCTGGGCGTCCACCTCAGCTTCGTGCGAAGTTTGGCCATGGATCGCTGGACGCCATCCCAGCTCCGACGCATGGCTCCCTGGCCATGCGTTTTGCAAAACAAGTCTAAGTGTCCGACCAACGACGCGACTGCGACTCGTGGCTCATGGCAGGAGCTTGGAGGATCGCTCCGCTTTCGGGACTTCTTGGCACCTTTCGGCCTTTGCGACTCCTCGGACTCCTCGCTCCATGCACGTCCGAGCCTGTCTTCTCTGCATTGAGCGTGCTGCGCTGCATGCGACTTCAGGCTATTCGTCCCGGGCCGCTTCCTTCTACAGGCGCCGTTTGGACGCGGAATGCCGTGGCCAAGCTTTCGGCGACGTTCCGCCATCGCGTGAAGAGGCCGATCAACACTCGAAAACTTCTGTGGCTGCCCGATCGGAACCCTTTGAACAACGCGGAATGTGTTCCGATGTTGTGCACAGTTGGAAGTCTCTCCAGCGCCATATAGTGTAAGGTTTCCCAAGCCACACTTCAACAAAGGCCTCCGAGAACCTTGAAGCGACGGCCAATGCGCAGAGCATTTCGGAAAAGTGGCTGTGGAGCTGGTGAATCGAGCGTCGTGTACTTCCAAACACATCTGTTAGACTGAAGGTGAGGGCTGGTTTTGGGACGCGGTTAGTAAGCACGGAGTACAGTACAGAACGTGCAGTACAATGTTCTCACAGGTTTGGAAGCAGTAGGCTCGGAAGCCAAACTTTGTTTGGGGTAGGGGTGGGTGGCCCCTTTTGAGGGAGTGGGTCACTAAGGAAGGGGGTCAAGAGGAGGGAAAGACTTGTGACCGCTTCGGCCGAGGCCCAGGCGAATACCGTGTAGTTGTAACGTTAGCTTGGTCTCAGTGCACGGAAGTTCTGGGGTTCCCTGTCGGTCAACGGCTGGCCAGGTTGACCGATGTGTAGAGTCATACATCCCTTAACAACCAGAGAGACACGCATGAAGTTTACTGGAGTAGACCCTTCAATGCAGCATGGTGTTCAACTCTGCGCACCAAGATTGTGCAGCAGCCGGTTTGCCTGCTTTCTTCTGCTTTGGGTTGAAGCACATGACACGTCAAGTTGCGCCTGATATCGCAATGAACTCATCGATATTTCGTGATATGCCAAAAGCGTTGCAATCATCCAGGGGCGTCAGATCGCCGACCCAGCGACGTTCACGGCAGAAGAGATTGAAACCGCTACAGACGGTGAAGGCAAGCCAGAGGCACAGTCAACTCTGCAGAAACATGCCCGATCACCGCCTTCCAGGTGAGTCTTTGGCTGCTGAGCGCCAGCAACTCGAGGCCCTGGACGAGCTGTGTTAAGTTCAGGCGATGCACGTGTGTATTCGTGGCAGCAGCGCACTGATGCATTCCAAGCGGGAGTGTCGTTGTCTCAGTGACGCCTTGTGGAGGACAAGTTCCTTGCAGTGCAGGGATGGCTGCAACAAGTGCTGACCCCGGGAGTGTGACTTCCCCCGCAAGGACACTTCACGACACGCCATTTCTCGGACTTCGTCATACAAGTCCAGGGCCCACTGGGCCATGTACATAAGGTTTCACTCGTGTGCAGTGAGTGATCGCTTTCGAAAGAACTTGGTGCCGCATGCGCTTTGCCCGCTGTCTCTGACGGTGTGCATGCGCTCATTTGGACATTCTTCAATCGCCTGGGAGGAGTTCGACTCGAGCATTCATCTGGTGGAGGAGGCTTGTCTGCTTTCCTCTCATCGGAAGATCGTGGCAGCTGTGCATGATGGTTGCAAGGCAGTGCACCAGCTGCTGAAGGAGAGGGGAGTGGACAGGCCACCACAACATGTAGCGGAATGTACCATGCATCCCCTATCTCCCGGCCTGCCTTTCTGGTGCCCGGCCGAGGCCTTTTGGGAAGTTGCGTTTTCGCCACGTGCCCCGCGCTCTTGCGGCGAGGTCGCTGTGGTCTCTGAAGGCCAGTGCGTGGTGTCCTGCGGACAGTTGCCTGGGCTGCCACCTGCGCAGGAGATCCGATACTCCTTAGTTGGAAAGTTCATTACAGCCTCTGGCTTGGTTGTGCTTCGTCTGCAGACCCGATGTTGTTTCGGAAGACCAAGATCCGCATGCGTTGATGACCTTAAGGCGAGGATAGGGGTCGTCAAGGCCGTGGCCGCAACTCGGTCGTTTCAGTGCGCTGCTTGTCGGCGCAGGCAGGCCAAGCCCTCTACGTGCACCCTTTGTCCCTGTGTGCCCTTGGCATTGCGCCCGCTTGCTTGCAGTTTCTCGGTGGCCTCGTTGGGGACGCTTGGACACGAGGCTCCACACTGCCCAGGAGGCCTGCGCAGATCGAGAGTGTCCCAAGGACGCAGAAGCTTATAGCTTTGTCAGCAGGCGATGGGCTTTTCTGTGGCTCTACGGATTTGCAGGAGCTTGGAGGCGCCAGGGCAGCATGTCTCTCTCTCTTTTGGCGGCTTTCATTCAGCCTCTTCGATGGTTGCCGCATGTTGCCGCTGTTTGCTGGTAGTTCTGGATGCGCTGATTAACAGGTACGATGATCGACTATCAGGAGATTCGGCTTCAAGACGTGGTGCCAGGGAGTTTCTCGGATGCAGGCATATGAAGGAATTGAGAGCTTTCGAACCGTCACTGGAGGCGTTGGCACAACGTTGAAGGTCATTCTGGTGGCTGATCTTGCGGGCAGTGCAGTGCCTGGTGACATTGTGGTCGTAGGCGCCAGCGCCAAGAAGGGGTAACCGTCGCTGAGCCGAACCCCGCTTCACAGGCGGCATCCTGCGGGCCATTTGGCCTCGTTCCAGGGGGGCGGCTGAGCTTGTCCTGGATGCCTCAGACGTCCGCCATTCGAAGGAGGCCTGCTAGCAACACTATCGTGAAGGCTCCAGTCTGTAATCATAATCGATGTCGCTTCATGCCCTTACTGCCTCTACCATCCTGCATGAACAGGCGTTCGATAGGTCAGCGCTGGGCCGTGCCAGGTGCCCTCACGGTCGCGTTCACTTTTCCTGGGAGCGCCCAGCGATGCGATGGCCCAGCGCGCGGAGCTCCTGCGCAGCGTGGCGCCAAGCCTCCAGGGCCTCGAGGCCGGCTCGCTCCGCTCGCTCCGCTCCGCCGCTGAGAGTTCCTCGGCATGCTGCGGCGCGTTGTCCAGGTGCCGAAGCTGGCCCTGCTGCTGGCGTTGGTGGGAGCTGGTCCCTACAATCCACCTGTGGCCGGGGAGGTGGAGAGGCGAGGCCACTGGTCCCGACTCAGAAGAACTTCTCTCCACTTTGCATCTCGTGGCAGGTGGTCCCGCTTCATGCCGGAGGATGAGAACGATGCGACTTCACCCATGGGGAAGAACGGCATCCAAGAAGCCAAGATGCAGCCCGGCATTGGATGTGAGTCTCAGGAGACTGCGAGCAGTGTCGCTTAGTGCCCATTGCAGCCCAGGCGGCTTTCAACCCACCTCCTTTTCGTCGGAGATGCGGCAACTGGAAAGACCAAGCTTATCGAAGCCTGGGGCCGAGCCGCCAAACCCTTGCAAAGCATGGGCAGCTTGTCTGACCCTCATGTTCGGCATCTCGCAACTCGTGAGTCCCTGTGGCGTGCCTGAGCTGGGACAGCTGTCCGCACGATTCAAAGCACTGAGTGACATCAGGTCAGCACAAATCAGCATGCACACACGCGCCCCATCCATCACGCAGGTGACGCCCCTCCCCTCAGCAAGAAACACCCCCTCTGTCGCAGCCATGGCGACAACCCGGCCACGGAGAAGCAGCAGGACCGCCCTACTCTGTGCAGGGGTGGCCTGCTGCTCAGAGCCTGCAGATGGTCACCTACATCATGCAATGCATCCAGAATTGAGGCCCTCGCCGGGTTGAGAGGAAGCCTCTGACCCAGCAAGACCGTTTTGTTTTTTATGAAGGCAATGTTTAGACACCCATATCAGCACAAGCGGACGAGGCTTCGTGTTGCCGACCGAGCGACCAGGAGGCCAGCGGCAAGAGCAGAGGCAAAGCAGCCACCATTGAATTCTGCTGCAGGGACTCTGCGCAGCTCCGGCCGGCAGGCGGGAAGCGCACAGCAGCGCACAATAGTTCGGTCCTGTGGGCGCTTGGCAATCTGCTGACAGGCTCACATCTGCCGCGCTGTCCCCTTGAGGAGCCGGTTGCTGCAGGGTGCTTGGAGTGCAGAGACAGGGGATTGGCGTGCAGGATGGCCGAGGGCTACGAACGAGTGGAGGCAGTGGAAGACAGACCGCGCTTTTCCAAAAAAATGGCACTGCTCTTTTTCAGGATGAGTCGATGTTCTCCATGATTGTCGAGGCCGCAGAGTCGCTGACGCTTTGACGAACTTCTGTCGAGTCATGTTTTGCGCAGACTGGCACCTCATCACCGTCTGTCACTAAGCTGAAGGCGGGAGAATCCCTGGGCTTAGAGAGTGCGGGCAATGCTAGCCCATGCGGGGTCAGGTCGTGTTGCCGGAGGAGCGTGACCTTGAGCCAATCTCTCATCTGGTCTTAAGCTGCCTGGGCCTTCTGAGTGACCACATGTTGTTGCTTCTACTTTGCTTTTCATCAGAGGCTTTCCGGAAGTGGTGGACGCCTGGCTTTTGCCAGAGGCCCTTGGCGGAGTTGCCTGGGTCGGCACCCGAGCGCTACCTGACCCTGCAATGTCCTGCAGCTTTTGTGAAGCCCAGGCCTGGAATGGCCTTGTCAAGGCCTGGGAAAGGAGCGTGTAAGTCTCAGCTTGCGACGCATGTTCGAGCTGATGCGGCTGATGGGCAGTGCAACATGGTTCACTGCAACCAACCCTCAGGTCATTCGGACATCCCTGTCTGTGAATTTCCAACGCGTCATGACCCTTGCCCGTGGCAACTGGCTGTGCGTATGTGTGTTGCTATGGCGAGTGGTCAGGGCTGTAGCAACGGCTGCTTGAAAGCAGAGGAAGCGACCCTCATTGCGAAAACCATGGCGATGGCAGTTTGAGGCACCGGTCATCAAGTTGAGCGAACGCCGGCCCGGTAAAGGACACGGTGCCGACACGCAAACGAGCAAGCGAAGCATGCCAGGGTGACTCTTTGGGCCTCCTCCTCGTGGAAGAAGGTACGGCGGTATGGAGAGAAGAAGGCAGGGCTGTTCAGCGGCTCTTCTGTAGGTGATGGGCCGATTTCTCCAGTGGCCTTCTGCGAGTGTCTGGGTGAAAGCAGAAAGCGATCGAAGTCATCGGTTTGCCCAGCACTTGGCTGAGGCTCTGCATTTTGCCACCAAACGGCTGCTCTCCAGATGATTTTGGAGCCACGATGCGTGAGCCCCAGGCACAGTAACTCCGACTCACGGGGTGCTAAGCTTGAAAGGTCCATGATCATTGACAACAACCAGAATACTGCCGCCATCCCAGCCGAGAGCTTTCGCTTCCACGGATTCTGGCAGTGGCTGACCAGGCCCAGCCCTATCTACAGAACTTCTGCGTGGCACCAAAGTGGCGCCGCAAGGGCGTGGGCCGCGCCATGCTTCAGATGATCGAGAAGGTCTTCTGCATTGCTGCCTCGAAGTCAGCGCCACAGTGCAACTGACAGGTCGTCGTCGAGGTTTGGAACGGCGATCGTTTGTATCTACATGCGGCGGGGGGCAAGGCCAGATCTTCGGGTACGTAGTGTCTCGGGGCCGCGCTGCTGCGTAGGCCTCAGAAGGCCTCTACGGCGGCTGTGGCTACGAAGCCACAGGTCTCTCACCTCCTGGTGAGCCGCCGGGCGCTCAGAAGATCTCAGACGCCCACCTGCCGGCGTTGCATGTCTCGTTCGGATCGCGTCAATTCCGAAGACGTATGTGCAGTTGATGACACAGTGTTTGAAGATTGGCTTGCGACTAACAGCAAGGAGTCACATGGTGAAGAGCCTCGAAGTGGAAAATGTCCGGCTTCCTGACAGTGAAGAAGCACAAGAAGTGCTGTCCCAGTAAATCACGGAGTCGGAGAGCTGAAAGGGTATGGCAGCATCGCCTCCCCTCCCACCGGGCATTTGGAAGTGCTTCTTGCTGGTCCTTGCGCGTGTGCATGCGTTTTTCCTTCCCGCATGCACGCGGAGTCTCACCCATCTGTGCATACAAGCCGAAGCTGTTGCTGCAGCGATTCTGTCCCGTATGGGCCGACCCTCAATTGAGTTGACACGCATCTTCGCAGACGCGGATGTACATAGATCGCATGACCAGCGAAGCTGATGGAGCGACGACACGTCCGACTGATGCCACTAAATAAAGACGTCCGAGAAGCTTCAAAACTGCGCTGTTGGCGTTTGCGAGTTGAGTGGCGAGGGAGACCTTGCACATCATTCCGCTGTCGTCGCTCATGCCATCGTAAATGTCGTAAATCTTCTTGCCAAGTTCAAAACTGAATCTGCAGCTTCCCGCCAGGCGGCTGCGGATCTTTCCGCACATGGAGTTTGCTGCAGTGCCAGCCTCTTCAAGCCTCTTCCCGTCATGTACAGACCAAGGATTGGATTTTTCCGTAACCATAGCCATTGTGCCCCGTCGTGTCCACATGTCTAGGTGCCATCGGAGCCACACGTTCTGGGTCTGCCGCCTAGAGGGCTACATGTAGAGTCCTAAATCAGGCAACCCGCCGGAGTAGATTTCGGTGCTTGTCGCTGCTTCTCGCTGCTTCTCGCTGCTTCTCGCTGATCGCTGTTGTTGGCCTTTCCGCCGCTCCCTGGTCGGCATTTGCTCAGGCTTACTGTCGCATGCGTCCGAGACGGTGCAGGGTGGAGCCTTGAGGTGCTTCAGCAATTCAGCGATCAGATCAAAGTGCACCATAGTGCTTCTTGGGCCACATCAGGCGGGAGCTTTGTCGCTGGCTGATGGTGGAATTTGCTGCATAGATGAGTGGGCCTGTCGAGTTTAGCCGAGTGTACCCTTTTCTTCTTCAGGCTCTTCATACATGAGTCCAGGTTCCGGCATCTTGCTGCAGAAGAAAAGGCAGCCCTCTACGAGGCTGTTCGCATCAGTTCTTCTCATGATTGAAGGAGCTCTCTGAACAGTTGCTCATGCGCTGCCGGAGCTCTCTGTGACGGTTCTCACAAGTCTGGGAGCCACGCGATCTACACCTTGCCTGTTTGGCCCAAGTTGACTTGTCTTCATGTAATTAGGACCCATAGTCAACATGACATGGCAACAGAACGGAGACCCCATGAAACGGCACATGGTCTTGCTCCTGGAATCTTGTCTACAACCCCTGATGCTCTGCATAGATGGTGAAATGGTGGCAGGCGTGACCCGATGCTGTCAGTCGCTGCTCCCTAGCGGTGTTGTTGAGATATTCTTGGAGGTGGGGGGGTCTTCGAACGCGGACATCGCCGATGCTGCCGACGTGGCCAGGGCCGTCCAGCCCGCAGAGGCAAGGAGACCTTGCCCCAAGAGGACTCCGAAGAGAGAGTGGCCACTCGCCAGGCGACGTGGAGAGCACAAGATGACTGGCCGTTCTTCGACTCGCGTCTGGTGGTGGAGACGTCTGCGCAGTTTGTTGCAGCCTCCTTTCGAATTAGAACCTTACCTGCAACTACGGTACTAGCTGCACGTCCCAGCCAAACTCATTCCGAGTTTTTGGTTTTAGGGTCATCAGACTCGTAAGGAGCTGGTCAGACAGATGCTTGGACGCAGCTTTGAGAGTGGTCAGTGTGCTGTCGATGAGCCCTCTTGAGAACGGGCCGTGAGAGCATTTCACTCGAGGACCTTCGGAGCCCACGGAGCGAGTCCAAGGCCCGGGCCGAGCGGAGCGAAGGCCGAGGCCGAGGCCTGCCCTTTGCCTGGCGTCAGGCCACCTCCAGGCCCCAGACTCACGACGACGACGGCTTCCAGGTGAGACACCTTGCGGCACGGCCCGTTTTGCCCCTTGCGCCTGTCGGATTCAGGCTGCCGTGCCGCCACAAGTGCAGCTGCCGGCGCTCAAGAGCAACAGCAAAAGCGTGGCACGCCCGGTTCTCAGCAGGTGTCGGAAGATCTGCTTAAGGACTCGCACGGTGCGCATTGGCGCGTGGGCTCAGGCAAGACGGAGACGAGGGACTTCCGGCTTCGCCATGCGGCCTGCTGTGACTCGGCGTGCCGAGCCGTATGGCGGTCTGCTGCGCTTTCTTTAATTGTGGGAAGAATCGGGCTGAGTCAGGCCTGACGGTCATAGGCGGTCGTGCGCACGATTCGAGAGACTTCCGGGGAAGTGGGATCTTCAGGTCACGCTCATCACTTTGTCGGCTTCGAGCGCCTGGCCACGGAGCTCGTCCCCAGGAGCCGAAACTTAAGAGATCAGCTCAGGCACCGGCGAAGAGAGCCTGTCGCGCTCGCGCGCAACGTAAACATGTCCCTGCTGTGCAGGCAGACGCTTTGGTCCTTGTGTGTGGTGCCTGGGAACCTCAAGTCCGTGGCGGAAGTGGATCGAGAGCAGCTAGATGAGCTGATTGAGTCGGAGGCCTGTGACACGAGCGATGTCTCGCCTTCATGCGCAGTCCACGTTTGCTAAACTAATTATGCTAGCTATTGCAGGTGGAGAGGTATCTGCGATCTCGGTTGGTCATCTGTCAGCTCACTGCCACGTGGAATGCATTGTGATATATTGTGAGCATGTTGACGTGGCTGACGGAGAAGGACAGACAGAGGTCGACAGACGAAGAGAACAGTCAAATCAGCAGCCACAAGAAGCCAGCAACCAAGAACACGACGAATCAGACAAGAGCTGGCAACAACAAGCGAAGGGAATGCGCAGATCTTGCGATTAGGCACCCGCATGCTTCACGACTCATCCTGAAACATCATGCCGCTCATCGCACCGCAGAAGTCGCTCATGCTCCCTCTCCGATCCTGCTCCATCATATTTAAGGAGGCAGACATGGCATTGCAAGACTGGTTGAGAATGCATCCGCTTTGCACCCCTCACTTGTTAAAGTGCTCCCGTGGCCTTTCGTACACGAGGCCTTCGGCCAGACTTTAGCAAGAGGCTAAACCCACCTGGTTGCAAGATGTTGCAAGTCTGAGCGCTTTGCTTTGTTTGCCAATTGCTCGCTCACCTTGATTCTGGGTTGCCACCGGGGCCTGAGTCTCTCCGCCGCAAATTTTATTTGCGAACAAAGAGTCAAGAAGCCGGAGATAGCATCAATAGTTACTACAAGCGGAGATTCAATGACAGATGGTCTTTGCTAGCCAGGCTTCTGAGGACTGCCACAGATACATGCAAACTGTAGCTCTCTGTAGTTTGAGTCTTTCATGTCTTCCGGTACGTCGCATGTGGAGTCACAAGCTGGAGTTGGAGCTGCCACGTTGCACGAGGAGGCTCTGCGCCGTGATGGAGTGTTGCTGACGACACAAGCAATACAGGAGCATGAAGGCTGCTGGCCTGTATCACCTGTTCGGCGGCACACTGCAGCGAAGTCCTCACCAAGGAGGCCCGAGGTGTTGGTTGTGGCAGACACCCAAGAGGCCAGTGCAGAGCAGCTGCAGGCACTAGGCCGCGGCAGCGACGATGTACGGGTACTTGGCAGTCAAAGACTTGCTCCCGAAGTACCTGGACCCTTAGCCGTGAAGCGACAGAGGACAGCGGAGAGTGTACAGTACAGCCAGGAGTCCCAGTTACTGAAGCTAGAGTACAACCACGATGCCAGAGCCATCGCGAAGTACTTGATGGATCGATCCAAGGAGGACAGGCGCCGTGCCGACCAAGAGCGACAGAGGGCAGAGGACGAGCGCGAGAAGCGCTTCCAGGCCGAGATGCGGTTGCTTGAAATTCCTCCAAGCTGGAGAAAGTGTGCAGAGCGTGAGCAGGGAGGTGGGAGGTCCTCTTGCCTGTGAGCGAGGGACGCGCCGTCGTGAGCTCGGGCGTCCTTGTCGGCCAGCAGGGCTGNNGGTCTTGCAGGCATCTGGAGACAGGTTCTCGACCTTCGCCATCCACTTTGCCCAGTACTGCTTTTGCAGCTTCACATAGAGTAGTACGACTCGGCCATCTGTGATACAGTTTTTTCTTTCATGGAGAGCTTGATCGGCATGTCAGCAGAGCAGTTGGTGAAGCTGCAAAAGCAGTACTGGGCAAAGTGGATGGCGAAGGTCGAGAATCTGTCTCCAGATGCCTGCAAGACCGTAACAGCCCTGCTGGCCGACAAGGACGCCCGAGCTCACGACGGCGCGTCCCTCGCTCACAGGCAAGAGGACCTCCCACCTCCCTGCTCACGCTCTGCACACTTTCTCCAGCTTGGAGGAATTTCAAGTAGCCGAAGCCGACATGCAGGCGTTGATCGGGCAGCAGGTGCTCATCTGGAGTCCACGCTGGGGCAAGCCCAGAGTGTTGCCAGCCCTGGTTGGAATTCCTGGTCCTGGGATGAAGAGGTCGACGCCTGTTGGCAGAAAGCACTGGCCGATGCATGTGGTGCAGTGGACGAGTCTGAGTCCGGCCATGCAAAACTTCATGGGCCGGAGACTGACAGACAGATATCCCGCCCCAGGCTGGGACACGATTTTCCAGGCAGCCTCTGATGATCGTGATCAAGACATGGAAGGGACTCCAGCACAAAGATCCGGGCGCACTAGGTCCGAGATGGCCGCCGCAAAGAGGGCCGCAAAGAGTGCTGCAGCTCCTCCTTTGGAAGGCACGCCAGCACAAAGATCCGGGCGCACTAGGTCAGCCATGGCCACCGCAAAGAGGGCCGCAAGCCGTCGACTCAGTACTGAGTACTGTCGTGTGTGTATGCATTCATATCTCGCATATACATACTTTGCGATTGATATATAGAGTCTAGAAGTGTCTGCATGCATGTACTACTCTTACATATTTTCTCGAGAAAATGCATACATTCACGCCTGAGTCTCTCCGGGGCACGGTCGACTGCCCTGACGTGCTTTCGGTTGGCGAGGTGACCAGTTTGAAGCCGAAGGCGGCGATGAGGGTTGGAACACCGAGAGCCTACCAATTGAGGTGTAGAGTGTTGGATCGAAATACCCGCCACCTTCAAGAGACGTAAATAACAAATTCAGGGTCATGCTACTGCTCCGCCGTGCAGCTTTCACGTGTTCACTGCTCCCTGACCTATCTTGCTGGCGGCCTTCGGACAGAATGTAGCTGCGGACAAAAACGGGGGTTGTGCGTCTGAGCGCTTTCTTTTCTGATTGCTTTCAGCTGTGGTTTTGCACCGATGAAGCATGAAGCATGTTCTTGTTTGTCTTTTCAAGCTTGGTGGCTCGCATGTATCAGGTTGAACAGTTTCCTTTGGTGTTGATTCAAGGACGTGATGACCCAGGATCTCATCGCCAAGTACAACTCAGACTCTGACACAGAGGACGCCCCCAACATGAGTTGACAAGAAAGCTTGGGTATCCGACGCTGACGCTCACATCTCTCGTTGTCTTCTGTGGGCATCGGAGGCTGCACAAGAATCTTGGGGTTCCCGTTACATCACCTCAACGGACGTATCCGAATCACAGCGTAGACTGCAGATAGAAGGAGGAGGCCGGCGAAGAGGGAGCCGGAGGAGGCGTGGAAGGAAAGGGGCTCTTCAACATCGCCACGATGGCCAAGAACAGTGGGTTTCTCAGAAACCGGAGCCTCCGAGCAGCGTGAGAGGTCTCTGCGACCCGAGGCCGAGGCAAACCCTGGAAGGACGCTCTCTTCGGTGATGTTGGCGGCCGCCGGGGCCCGGCGCCTGTTCATCCACTGGGAGCTCCGGTGAACTTCTCCAAGTGCCTCGGCCGCCTCGGCCTTGCGCTGCAGAGCAGACGTGACGCATGATGTCATGTGCCTTCAGTAGACTCAAGATGCTGCTACTGCCACCCAGGAATTCATTGGCAAAGAGACTGCAGATGATGAGCCCCTTGCTTTGTATACAGGGTCTGACAGCAGAAGCTTTCCGGCTGCCAAGTGCAAGGCATCAACAGCCTGGCCGGCAAAGTCACCGGTGCGATTGGCCAGGCCGCGGGCAGCGTGGCAGATGCCGCAAGGCAGGCCGCCCGCAATGAGCGGC